CATGGCCTTTGAATTAGCACATTTTCTCTTCTCACATCATCTTGTTCTCTAGTGTCTATGGGTTTATTCCACTTAGAAATAAGCAAATCACATGAGGAATATAAGCGATCTTTTCTGGTCAGTTTTTATTTCTGTATTTTAAGCCACTGCTATCACGGAAGGATCCTTTAATTCTGAAAAATAATTCTTGACATCTACAGAAATTTCCTATTAAAGAACCTACCTGTACGATCTTTATTTTAAATCTCTACCACCAATATCACCGTGAGTCAACAGGGAAAAAGCTAAATAGTGCAATGGCTTTAAAGCAATTCATCATTAAAGCAGAAAACTAGGTTCATTAGTGTGTGGGTGCTCTAGACCAATGCCATCAATGGAACTTTTGGTAAGGAAGAAACTTAAGACCCAGGGTCTGCTCTCTAAACTCTTACAACGTAGGTGGGGACACAAATCACACAACCACAAACAGTGACAAATATAAGAGCCAAAAGTATTAAAAAAAAAAAAAAAAAGAAATAGCCTCTTAGAATCTTTGTTCTACTTTGCCCTTTTGCTACTATGGATCCAAAACAGTTTGCTTGAGAAGGAGTGTCCCAGTTGCTTTCACAATCCCTGAAGCAGTCAGTTTGAAGGCGATACTATCATTATGTCATGTGCCTTAAGTGCCTACATGGAGAGGGAGCACCTTTCCTGTGAAATGTTTACTGTCTTTCCAAAGCAGAGCATGAAGAATGTGCCAATCAGAAACTGAGCACGGTTTACACTGCGTTAAGTCCAAACCCTCTGTCTCTCACCCTCTTTTTCTCATTTTTTTCTTCACAGCCTAAACCCTGAAAGAAAAAGGAAGTTTGGGTAAAGACAGAAACTGCCCATTTTTTTACTCCCCTTGTCACTTTGCAGAATATACTTTCTGAGACTCTCAGGGACCTTTCCACTTTGCACCTGCTCTGCAAACTTCCCCTCAACATTTCTAGGGCAACCACATTGTTTGCAAAAGCAAAAGAACCTTAAAACATTCATGGAAAAATAGAATTGAAAGATATGTTTACTTTGGTGCAACAAAAAAACCTTCAAAATACATTTATGATTTGCTCATAATATGCATTTTCAATGAATCTAGTGAAGAAACCTCACATCTATGGATTTCAAAAAAAAATTTTTGCACCAAAACAAGTTACCTTTTAATTTCATGTTCCACAACCTGTTTGCTATACCCTCATAGTTAAAGAGGGAAGGAAAATGAAGGGGGATGGATGGAGTTTGGGTTGGGGAAAGGAGAGGAGCGAAAGAAAGGAAGGTAGGAAAGATACATAGCAAGGATACAAATTAGAACCAGCGATGAAAGAACAGCCAATGGTCCTATTCTCAGCCACCCCATTCTCAACTGGGACTGAAAAACCATTTTGTATCTTCCAGAGATACAAGCAAGTGAACAAAGTGACTGTGTTTGGATCATCTGAGACTTCCTCAGTGTAATACATGGACCATTGTGTGGACTATTTTTTACTTTTGTGCCTTATGTGACAAAATAGATCAAATACAAAACAATGTTTTCTCTGTACCCTCCCAATTAATGTGACCCCAAATTAACCTTAATTTTAAATTAAACTGAACTTCTTGAATTCCCTCCAGACTTAGCCCATTGCTTTGGAGCTATGTTAAAACAACAACCACGAATGGCAAAAACATGACAAATTGAGTGTTAACACCACAGACTTAAAGTCATTGGCCTACATCTTGGCAACACTTTGACTAGGTAATAGACTCTTAAAATAGATTTTTATATATAAAAATTTTGAAAGAACTCCCTTTCTATTGCTGAAACAGACATATTGAAAGAAACTACTGGGGCCGGCGCTATGGCTCAGCGGGTTAACGCCCTGGCCTGAAGCGCCGGCATCCCATTTGGGCGCCAGTTCCAGTCCGGCTGCTCCTCTTCTGATCCAGCTCTCTGCTGTGGCTGGAACAGCAGTGGAAGATGGCCTAGGTCCTTGGGCCCCTGCACCCGTGTCGAAGACCCAGAGGAAGCTCCTGGCTCCTGGCTCCTGGCTTCAGATCAGCTCAGCTTTGGCCATTGCGGCCAATTGGGGAGTGAACCATCAGATGGAAGACATCTCTGTCTCTCTGCCTCTCCTTTCTGTGTAACTCTTTCAAATAAATAAATAAATATTAAAAAAAAAAAGAAAAGAAAGAAACTACTGTCCATTCCCAATCTATCAAACATAAAATTTTCCTGGCTTCATAAAGGAAGAATATAAAACACAACAGCACTCCAGTCTTCCATCCTTCTAGCCATTTAAGACATCATCCTGTGTTTTCAACCCTAGGATTCCATGAAATTAGGATTGTAGTTTTGTGGAGTTCAACTTTAAAACCTGTAAGTCTGGTAGACAGGGAGGGACGAGTGGAGATGGATGATAAAAGAGGTCTTTCTTGGGAAGATAAATGAGAACCAGTGGCCTAGCTTCAGAGTACCGATGGTCTCCATGGCATTCAGGAGCAAGGCATGCCTCTTTTGGGTGGGTGGGGCTAAGTGAGCTCTTGGAAGATCTCAGATAGAAAGTAAAACAGAGCCCACCCTTATCCACATGAACAATTCATTGTGAAACAGATGAGGAAGGGCCAGGAAAAGGTCTTATTATACAGAACCAACTGCTGGCCAGAACTCACCGCTATCAGATCAACAAGACATTGTTCTCGTGGCCTCTCAGCACCTGGAGTGGCTTTTATTTAACAGAACCTCTCTTTGTAGTAGGATTTTACCTGGTTGTACCTTTAAGACTATCACTTTGGGAGGGGGAAGAAAATGACTTCTTCAGAAAAACAGTTGAAACATAAACATCCCAAAACAAAATCCTGGGGGAAAAGGCTAAAACTATTGGAAAAGGTAGTTACACCTGAATGAAACTACTGTGAGTTTGTGTGAAGAGCATACTGCTGAAGTACTGCTTCCACAGACAGGGATGATCAGGCCTTGTTTTATTTGGCACTTCCATTCTTTTTACAAAACGGGATACTGTTTTAAGAACACAGGTATAGTAGTTTTCAAGGTTACTGTGGCCATAGGAATGACTAAGGTCATGGTATTAAGCTTCTTTCTGCTGCTAGACCAGTTTTTGCTTCTCTAGGTTGCTATATTCTTACGAGTATTTAAAACGACACTACAAAAGAAAAGTTTAGAAATGTAACTGACCATAGTCTAATCAATCCATGCAATCACTTGTGGAGTGGAGTTGATTCTTTAATAAAGTGAAAATGAGAGGTCAGTTGTGAACATTTTTGTTCACATTATTTACTACTAATTAGGTAAATCTAGAATGGAATAAGTGTTCTAACTAGTCACAGGGCAATTTAATGCACTATCTGACCCTAAGTACAATCTTGTACTATAACAAAAAAGTGTGTTATCTTTCAATGCCTTACCAGGTCAATGTAAAATACTAGAATATGGATGGCAAAGTACTGAAATTATGTTAGATTCACTGTAGTTGAAAACTGAACTATGTACTGTACTCTGAATATCCTTATTGCTAGGAAAACCACAGTGAAGTATGAAGGGGAAAAAGGGCTTTGATTTGAGCCAGAAAAATTACTTGGTGTATTTATGTTTGTATATATTTATATGTACGCATATGTATATAATATATTTTATATATAGCACTATATTACATATAATAAATTAGTCTGATGCATATTTTATAATACATAAATCTGTTTTTATAGAGGTAGTATATGATAAAGCAAAAGAGCAAAAAGTTAGCAAAAGAGCAAAAAATTAATAAAAGGTCAATTTGGGCATAGGTATATAGATATTCTTTGTTCTATACTTGCAACTTTTCATTTAGTTTGGGATTATGTGCAAATAATATTTCTTTTGTAAAAAGGGGGAAAGGGAACTGAAACTTTCCTGAGCTAGATTTCTAGTACACAGTGTGCTGGACTTGCAGGTTTCATACCCAGTAGAATGTTTGCCTCAGCCTGGTTTTCACTTGGCTTTTGATCATTCACACAGATCTTCAAGGGGAAACAAAATGAAGTGTTTTTAAAAAAATTTCTCTAAATTTTTATATTATAAAAGCAACAAGTCCTTACTACAGAAAATTTAGGCAATGTACAGGAAGCTAAAAAGGAAGGAAAAAAATCCATAAGTAAATCCCAACACACTGGACAACAACTGGCATTTTGGCATATTTATTTTAAGGTTTTAAGCAAACTAGGATTTTATTATATAAAGTATGTACCTTTTTCCCCCTTAACCTAGTATAAAAGCATTTTCCTTTATCAACAGTAAGAACCATAACTCCTGGCTTCCAAAGTATTACAGCCTGTATAAACACATACTGTCTACTAGGTAAGGGATAAGGGGGAGGCACAGCTCAGATGATGACCACTATATTATGCTGTGGGTTATCTAGCATACAAAAGACCTCTCATCCTGATGGAATGGAATCCTTAAAACTTAAGAGGGATACATTTTCATGTGAGGAAAGTTATAAGAATTTAAACGCAAGGGTTAGATTCAAAAAGGCAAACTTGGGACAGGATGGGTTTTGCCACTTTCTATTTTCTTAGCTGCCTAGTGACATAGAAAAAAGCAAAGGATCCAACCATCAGGAGACATGTAGTCTAGCCCCGTCATGAACAAACAACTAGCTCTTGTTTGGGTCAATGCAGCCAAATCTCTCTGATCTCAATTTCCTCATTGTTAAATGACAAGGTCAAACAAATTCCCTAAGGATCACTCAGTCTCTGATTCGGCAAGATTCTCCTGTTTTAAAGATCCCAGGGAAAAAGGGGGGGGGTGGAGTAGATGAATTTATTATTTCTGAACGCATTATTTCTAACAAGATCATCAATCTCATTTTCCATAAGAATAGATCAAGTAGCACTTGGCCTACAAGAGAGATTCCACAAGCTCACTTTCTCAGTCCTTTGGAAAATAAGGACTGGGGAGAAAGGCAGGGAGATCTGCAAGTAAGGAAAAACAAGAGAAAGCTCACCATGGCCATTGCAGTAGTAGATCCACTTCTCCCGGTTCTGGGTTGGAGTTACAGATTTCTTCAGCCCTGCTTTTTCTACAATGGTGCTGGGATCCTGCCGGGGCCCCTTCTTCAGAGTCCTTGAGCTTTTCCGGATGCTGCATACCACTATCACCACAAGCACCAGCAGCAGGAAAAGCACAATCATCCAGGGCAGATGTTCGTTGATGTCAAAATGCTTGTGCAGGTTCTGTCTGGGATGGCCTCTCTTGGGGCTCTTGATGGGTGTGCTGGACTTCTCACCCGCAGTGGCCTCCATGGATGGCAGCAGCTTCAGGATGTGTCTGTGGTGGGGGCCTTGCTGGTGGTTTGCTACTTGGAGGATTGGGAGGGTCTTATTCATGCCTTCCTCCCCACTTGCTGAGCTCGTATTGTCAGGGACTGTCCCTTCCTGGATGCCACTTGGTACCTTTGGTCTAACAGAGGCAGAAGTGTTGGATTCTGTTGAGTTCATGCCTAGAAAAAAGAGTAAGGAAGTGGGGAAGAGCTTTTCCATATTTGGGGATCCACATGTTCCTTGTCTCTCAGGTCATCTCTAAACTGGGCCAGATAATCAAAGAAGAGATGACCTTTGGAGCTTAAGCAAAAATAAAATTATATTACACATTTTTATAAAGGCTCTAACAGCACTTTTATGTGGAAGGTAAGAACTGAACTGAACAGTTAAACTCACTCCTTGTACCAAAACCAAGAGTTGTCAGGGACCCAACATCTGAGTTTCACGGCAGCATCTTCTGTACTTCACGCGCTGAATAGACACATGTATATTCAGTACTCTAGTCAACCCTTCATTATTTTTAGCATTCAGAGAAATAGTTCAAATGTAGAGTTGAAGTTATTTCTCCTTTCCCACCTTTTGATAAAACTCAGAATGTGATTAAGGTAAAGAAAAGAGTTCAAATGCAAATCCAAATTTGATGAGTGAAAGGTTTGGTGGGACAGGTCAGTGAACCAAATATGGTTATGAAGAGATTAAACAAGATTTGGGCCAGCAGTTTAGTTGACTTAGTTGATGTCTTTTAGAAAAGCTCCCATAACTAAGATGATCATGAGAGATCAGAATTTTGAGTCTTAACAGATAGGACGTGGCCTGTTTCAGCCCTTGAAAAAATACGGAGTGACCACTTGAGTTCTTTGACCCCATTTCTTCATTTCAAAATTGAGACTGTAAGAAGGCTGTCTTTTTAGAGTCATAATGAAGGTAAAATGTAATCATATATGACAGTGCACTTAGAAGAATAACTCAAGTTGGTTATCATCTCATGGAAATTGAATTTAATCAGAAAGGACCTGAAAATAAAGGCTGCATTTTTTACTTGATCTGAGGTTAAAATGGGATTCTGAGGAAAAGTGGGATATTTAAAGGGCATCAAATTAAAATAATTGGAAAAAGTAAAATTATTGCTTCCCAGATATGAATGCTAGTCACTTTAAACCCAATACAAATATGTTTCCTCCCTGAAGCTTCTATCCTTCCTTTCCATGCTTACTCCACCTTAGACTCACTATCTATCCCTCCCATCCAGAAGTAATGGGATTTTCTCCCCTTATCCTTCCTTCTTTCCTTCTGGATGTATCAACTCAGGATTGACTCCATGCTGGAAAAATTTAATCTGAAAGTAATGTTAAACATCTAAATCACTCAGTTATTGAGTGAGTTTGCAATCAAGGCCTAAAGAGGTTAAATGCTTTATATAAGGTCACATGCTGTCCTTATTTCTCTTGGTTCTTATTTTCTAGCTTGATATGACCTAGTTTCTAAATATCTGATCTTTCCTAATAGAAAAATTCTGAGTCTAAATGTTTCTAATAGGTCCAAAAAAGTCAGGTTTAATTAGAAAAAAAAAAAAAAGGCCCCTTCTCAAAAGGATGACTTTGGAATACACATAATGAAGGAAATATCTTTGGTATAAGACCACTCTTGGTACCTCCCATGGGCTCAAAGCCGTCCTCAAATAAATATTTCATGAGGGTAAGTTACCTTTGGGAGCATAAGTGGAGGAAGGAACTTCATGGGATTCCATGTGTTCAGTGCTTGTGAAGATGGCTGTGCCAGGAGAAGGTGAGGTCGTGCTGGAGAAGGACAGGTGCACTCCGCAGACATTGTCTGTCTCCTTGGTCCCTGGTTTGATCACCACCAAGTTCTGACTCAGACAGTCTGTGTATGCTTTGCATTTCAACACGCTAGAAGGCACATCAGAAAAGGTACCCCGAGCACACTGCTTACACCGGACGTCCTCAGTCTCTGTTCCTTTCTTCCGTACACCCCAACCCACAGGACACACTGTATGGGGGGCGCAGGTCCCGTTAGACTGGAACATGCCAGGTGGACAAGTGCATTCTCGGTCAGTCAAGGCAGCACAAGGTAATTTCTCAACCATTGGCCATGGGCATGGCTGGCTACAGTCATGGCATCTCTCAATGCCATTCTCATGCCTGGTAAAGGTCCCCGCAGGGCAACTGCTGCAGACGCGCAGGCTTGTGTTGGTACAATGCTCAGAGACGTAGGTTCCTGCTGGACACTTGTCACAGGTTAGCACCTGGCCAGTGGCACGGTCAACATGGCGGTAAGTGCCGATGAGATTTGGCGCCTTCTGTTCTGGCTGAGCTGTGGTGGTGCTAAGGAATCCAAGCTGAAAGAAATAAAAGGGGAAAGGGAGAAATCAAAAACCAAGAAGGTGTTATCTAGGGGAGAAGCAGAAAGGACCAACACCACAATCACACATCTGTTAAAGGCCTGGGGGTAGTGTATCCTCTTGACACTACTGCTGCAACACAGTGGAAGGAAATGAAGCCCTGGATTGACCTCTGTGAAGCTTTGGTTGAGCCACCTGACCTTTGCTTCAGCTTCTTGTTTTTCCATCTGTAAAATGAAGCTGACACACTTCTCAGACTGACTATAAAAATCAAACGAGAATGTGTATGTAAAAGCACTCTGTAGGGCCGGCGCCGCGGCTCACTAGGCTAATCCTCCGCCTTGCGGCGCCGGCACACCGGGTTCTAGTCCCGGCTGGGGCACCGGATTCTGTCCCGGTTGCCCCTCTTCCAGGCCAGCTCTCTGCTGTGGCCAGGGAGTGCAGTGGAGGATGGCCCAGGTGCTTGGGCCCTGCACCCCATGGGAGACCAGGAAAAGCACCTGGCTCCTGGCTCCTGCCATCGGATCAGCGCGGTGTGCCGGCCGCAGCGCGCCGGCCGCGGCGGCCATTGGAGGGTGAACCAACGGCAAAGGAAGACCTTTCTCTCTGTCTCTCTCTCTCACTGTCCACTCTGCCTGTCGAAAGAAAAAAAAAAAAAACTAAAGAGAAAGCAGCACTCTGTAGCTAGCACCGAAAATACTATATAGCTAGAAGACAAAATCTTAATGCAAGAAGACAAGAACTTGCTGAGCAGTTCTCTTCTTTTACCTGATCCAAATGGTAACCTGCCATTTCTTGATGCCAGGACAAAAGCAGCTGAGAACCAGGGAGGCACATATTCACTACCATGCCACCAGATGGCCTGCTTGGGGTTAACCCATAGGCACAGCATCATTTTTTCAGATCTTTTGTCTTTATGAGGCTAAATTTTTTGTTTGTTGTTTGAAATAAAGGGAGGCCTTCGCATTCTTGTGAATGTGCTTTAAGTAGCAATTGATGTTTTTAGTTTCACACCTTGTTTGTTCAGCCTTAGAAGTCCATAGCTATATAGAGCATGGACCTGCAGCCACCAAAAAAACCCAAGCACAAAGGTGGTTCAGTAAGAGAGACTCAATACACATTTAAATTTCATTCATGGAGAAGAAACTTCTATCAGCTAAACCAGATTTTACAGTAGCTTCCAGAATGAAAGTTGAAGAAAAAAAATATTTCTGATACTCAATCCTGCAGTCCTTTGAGGTGAAAGCAGAGTAGAGGAAGATTATTAGAAGAAGGCTTGCCTGCACTAATAAAGATTGAGAGTTTTCAACAGTTTTTACTGTATTGTACAAAATGCAGTAGCTTTATGTATCAAGAAAATAATGACTTGCGTGAATATTTGACACAGCCCTTAGTTGCCATTTGAGATGACCACATTCCATATTGGAATGCCTGAAATCGAGTCCTGGCTCCAATCCCTATTCCAGTTTCCTACTAATACACACCCTGAGAAGAAACAGGTGATGGCTCAAGTGGTTGTGTGTCTGCTACCCACATGGGAGCCCCAGATGGAGTTCTCGGCTCCTGAGTTCAGCCTGACTCAACCCCGGCAATTGCTGGGATTTAGGGAGTGAACCAGTAGATGGGAGAACTCTCTGTCTCTGTCTCTGTCTCTCTCACTCCCTCTCCGTGTTTGTGTGTGTGTGTGTGTGTCCCTTCCTTTCAAAACAGATAAACTGAAAACAAAATTTAGGGGCCACAACTTAGGATACCAGCAGCATCCCATATGAGAGCAATTGTTTAAGTCCCATCTTCTTTGCTTCCCACCCAGCTTCCTGCTAAAGCACCTGGGAAAGCAGAGGATGATGGTCCAAGTACTTGAGTTCCTGTAGGATAGAGTTCCTGGTCCCTGGATTTGGCCTGACCCAACCCTGGCTGTTGCAGGCATTTGGAGAGTAAACCAGAAGACGGAAGATTTCTCTCCCCCACCCCCAGCACTCCCTTTTGAATGAGTGAATGAATGAATGAATGAATAAATAAAGTTCACAGAAAGAAAGAAAATAATGATTGCCACAAACTACCTGCTACTCAACAGAACAAATTCCTTCCCAATTTGTTGCTGTACCGATAATTAAAGAGAAAAAAGCAAGTATTTTGTCAAAGTAATAAGACTTTCTGTCTTAGCACCTTAAAGCTTAATCCAAGATTCCATTCCTCCCCAATCTTAAAACTTAAATATTTTAACTAAAATATTTCCCTTGAGGTCCTTTACCCTATCCCAAAGCCGCCTGCAGTTTAACATCAATACTGCATTGAAAACTAATGAGCTTATGAGAATATATTCATTTTTTTTTCTTTAATCTGACAGCAAAAAAGAAAAAAGAAAAAGGGATATGGGTGATTTTTCTCATTAATAAGCTTAACTTCATCTTGGGGCCCAAAGAAAAAGAACCTTCTGCTTGATAATGATAAATTCTGTGATGCCTTCCCTTTTCTCTTCAGCCTTGACCTTTCCTTTCCCTGCTCCTTCATTTGCAAAATCAGCCCCAGCCACCCTTCCCTAAGCACAGCAAAATGCATTAGGCAGAGGGAATTGTCCTGTGCAGCCCAAGATCCATTTGGCAAGTACACCCAGCACAAGATGAGACCCAATCTCTCCAACACAAAGACCCAACCCAACAGATTGCAAAGTGGCTCCGCTTTGTACTTCTTGGGATTCCTTATTATCTACATGCAAAATCGGTTTAAGTTAGCTATAGTGTTCTATAAGTTTGAGCAATGTATAAGTAACCCAAATGACAGGTTACTACACTTAAATGAAAACAGAAGACAGAATAAGATTCCCAGCCAGGGAGTGGTGGTTGGGACGAACGTCACTCTGATGTGCTCTGTGATCTAACTTCACCTCCCTACCCCTATGGGAAGCTGGGCAACGAGCCACACACACATGGAGCACATTGAGGAGGTTGGCTCTGCCAAATGAGCACAGGGGATCATGAATGGCACTGCATGTGTGTGTCTGAGGTGTGAATGGGGAGCTAGGCTTCCTACAGCTTCTTCTACCTCACAGTTGCACACTTGTAATGCTAGGTAGGGGATGGTAGGTTCTGGACCAGTCTTCTGATTACTGAATTTCTAGAGGTCTCCCTGGCAGAATACAAAACTCACCTCCAAACCCTGTTGTACTCTTTCTAACACTTTAAGTAAATTTTTCAGTTCCTTAGAGACTGAAGATGTACCTTTAAAGTACTTTATGCTAAAGAAAGCAATTCCAGTTTCTACAAACAGGGTTAACAGATGCCTCAGTTGTGCTTGCCTGAGCTTAACACTAGAATAAGATTTATGAAAAAAACTATACACTATGAATTCATTGGACAAAAGAACTACCATGTGTCCACAAGGCACTGTGCCATGCGCTGAGGAGAGAACTTTAAGAACTCTGTTCCAGCACTTATGAAGCTTACATTCTTAGGCAGGTGTAACTATTCAATTAAAATTGAGATTACTGGGGCTGGCATTATGGCACAGCAGATAACTGCTGCTTGCAATACTGACACCCCATTGAGTGCTGGTTTGTGTCCCAGCTGCTCCACCTCCAATCCAGCACCCAATTAATGACCTGGGGAAAGCAGCAGAATACGGCCTAAGTGTATGGTTCCCTGCCATCCACATGGGACTTGGAAGATGCTCCTGGCTCCTGATTTCAGCCTGGCCCAGCCCTGGAGAGTTAACCACCAGAGGGAAGATCTCTCTCTTTCTCTCCATCTCTGTGTGTGTGTGTGTCTCTCTCTGTTCCCCCTCCCCTGTAACGCCTTCAAATAAATAAGTAAATCTATATTAAAAATGTGAGATTACTGCTGAGAAAAAGAAATAGAGTCCTTCGAGAGGGGGTTAAAGAGGTGTTTCCTATCTCTGGGAGGTGGAGAAATGTTTTTTAAAAACTCTTAAGGATGGAGAAGCAGAAATCAGCACCAGGCAGGGAGAAATGGAGAAATAAATTAGGCAGAGGGAACCCATAAACAAAATTTTGAAGCAGATGGAAGTTTAGCACAGGAACCAAAAAGCATATAGATCTACCATGAGATACAACAGTGACCACCATTGTATCTGTAGAAGTTCTACATTGTGATCTTAATCCAAAATACAATAATAACTCATTATGTGCCTTCTTGATAGTGGGGAGTTGGGAGGCATATAACCACATTCGTGAATAAAAGGTTATCTGACCATAGAGTGGTCATTGAAAGGTGGCCCAGGGGAGAGTAGATAAGAAAATCCAACGGGAAGGTAAAAGCCAAGGTGGAAATTAGTGGTGACTTGGACTAGGGTGTTGGTTTTGGATATCCAGAGAAGACAGACTTGAGGGTTAGGTGAATAATTACCTAAGGAAAAATAAAGTGGAAAAAAATCAATGGTTTTCAAATTGGACTCCAAAGAGCCCAAGGCAGGGTGTAGCATCACTCTCAAGGCTGTGTCTGGGGTCAAGGAGGTCGAGGGGTTAAAAGCCTTAAACACAGCAGCTCTGCTGTACCCATTTTCTAATGTAGCTTCTGAGTAGAGTGGCAAGATGGTGGCTTCTGAGTAAGGATTCACCTGCAGGAGAGTTTATTCATAAAATAAGTCTGGAGATCACGGAGCTAGAGGGACTGCTACCATCTCTTCCAATTCTGAGTTTAATGGATAAACCCATCCATCCATGCTATTAAGCTGGAGAACTGCTCTGTGGGCTCTTTTTCCTGATGGACACCCTGCTGTGGGAAGGAGGTGGTGACTTCCCTCTCTTCTTTCAGAGACCCAGATGGTACCCAAGAGAAGCTATTTTCCTAAGGCCTCTTAGTCAACTGAAGATTAAGAACTAAAACTAGAGCTTTTCCTACAAGTCTGGAGGCAACCACTTGGTTTCTAAGAAAACTAAAACACAGCAAATATCATTCCCTAAGATGATTCTGGGGGTGAAACAATAAGTGAGGATGAGGTGGATCAAGTTCAAAAACAACATTTAAGGATGGCCCCTTTCA